GCACATTCTGATCTTCATGTCAAAAGCAATGTGGCAGCGCTACTGATGCGGAGAAATACATGTTTAAGAACAAAGTACCAGCAGACATGAGTGAAGCATTGATACATCTACTTCACTACTGCATCACTGAAATGCTTCTATACATTTTACACAATAAAAAATGATCCCTTAATGTTTTCCTTGTCGCAATAATTGGTAGGAAAGGTCTAGTTATGGCAGACTTCATTCTTTAAGGTAGTGCGTGAGAGCTTATTGGTCACTTGCCAGCTGGTAAAAAGATATCTCTTGTGCTACATGATACCAACAGGCAGAAAATGTGTTCCATGCTTGCCTTTCTGCAGGCAGTGAGTGCCTAGAAAGGCAAGCCCGGACATTTCCTGGTTAACAGTCTCCGATTAACACTAAAATGAGCTGCCAGAGCATGGATAGGCAGTATCAACGGCGCTTCTCAAATGCTTATTTGGGGTACGTCTGTCACGTTGTATATAAGTAACAATTAGCTCTGGAAGATACTATGTTACGATATACATTAGCTCAGACACTTTGTGAAGATAGTATGATAAACACAGTATCATGTATTTGTGTTCAAAGTGAACCTACACTATAGACTCTCAGAGCATGCAAATTAATAAAATAGAACTGTTGCTTGAATAAAACAACTGCATCTTCATAAGAATGAAAGCTTGAGTGAGTAGGTACGCGTTAATCTTGGTTGATACAGCGCACACAGAACAACGAGAATAAACACAGTACGGGTGCTGACTCAGAAATAAATTTTATTGGGAAAAAAAAGCATATATATGGCGAGATACAACATAACAAAAAAGAACAAAAAAAGGATCCTAGCTAAGAAAAACAGGTACATATATATAAAGCGGTATGAGCCTTGGGACAGGAGAAGAAGAAGCACAAAAGTTGGGGCAGGAAAGAACAGTATGATGAAGTTGGGAATGATGGACGCCAGTCCCTACTGAGGCTATAATGCTGCTCCATTCTTTTAAGTTGAAACACTACATTATTTTGGCGCAGCGGGCCATCGAAGCCAACATGTGGGTGACGTTCTTCGTTGACGAGACCTCCACGGACAAGATCATCTTTTCGAAGTACCAAGTTCAAGATGAAGCAGCGGTGGACCTACCTCGTGAGCTCTGCTCGGAAGAACTCGTAAACCTGGTTGTGGGAAAGGCAGCTGTGGACCCTACTGAACTAGGAAGGAAAGGTGCTGTAAAAGTAAACTTGCATGTGGCGATTTTCTACAACCTAGTTCTTGAACCAGCGCGTCGAAGAGACTCAGGATAACGGTCTTTGACAAAAGAGGTGAGCCTCGTTTTGAAGGCTCTTCAGCTGCAACATGAACAGATTATGCAACAGAACAAAATAATGACACACTTTATAAGCTCTCTGAATGCTGAGAAACCGGAGTCTAAATTCGTAGAGCCTGATGCCTTCGACGGTATCTCTTCAAATCCAGAAAGTTTGCTTGAGTTCTATGAATATGCCACTAAAAAAAAAAAAACAGGTGGCTCTCTGATGATGATAAAATCACTAACATGCGTTTTTACTTGAGGGGTGTTGTGCTCAAGTGGTATGAAATGTGCATTCAGGAAGACAGTGGTGGCTTTTGGAGTCAGTGGAAGAAGAAACTTTTGACCGCATTCGGCAGGCAGATCCCACTAACCGAAGAAACAGAAATGTGCTCAGCTTTTATCACACCATCCGATCTCTACGAGTATAACTGGCTTTCTTTCGGTTAGAAAAACTCGCCAGCATGGTTCCATAAGACCATGAATGACGTGCTAAAGCTATTCCTTGGTGTTTTCTGTCTAAACGACATAATAGTCTTCTCCAAAACAAAGGCTGAGCATCAGGACCATCTGTCTCAGGTGTGAAACGCCTTGAGCTTGGCACGTCTCAAGGTAAACTTTAAGAAGAGTGCATTCTTTCAACAAAAAGTTGTGTTTCTTAAATGAGTCTTCGATGGGAACACCAAAAGCACAAAACAAGGGTTCGTTGAGAAGATCTCCCAGTTGAAGAAACCATATGACGTCTATTCACTGCATGTGTTTTTGGGATGGGCAGGACATTTCCGAACTTTCATTAAGGACTTTGCTGTCAAAACTAGATGTCTCGCATGTTTAACACATAAAGACGTTCCCTTTGAATGGAGTGACGAATGTGAGAGAGTCTACCGTGACTTGGTGCTCAGAATCTCTTCCGACTCTGTCCTATGCCTACCAGACTTCACTTTACCCTTTGAATTGAACACTGACGCCTCACATTATGGGACTGGAGCAGTGTTGTATCAAAAATATGTTGAAGCATCCAGCCGAGAAAAGCAACTTGTAGTAGGTTACTACAGTTACACGTTTAAGCCATCTGAAACTAACTACACGACTACAAACTGGCCATTCTGAAGGCCACAGAGTACTTCCGTTTGTACCTGGAAGGTACTAAGTTCACTTTGTTCACCGATCACCAGGCCCTCACTAATCTCTTGAATATGAGCCAAACTAAAGGACGTATTGCTAGATGGGTGAATTACTTGCAGCTATTCGACTTTGCAATCTTGCACCGATCAGGGCCACTTTTAACCGATGCAGATGCTCTATCAAGGTTGATGGCACGAAGCAACACAGAAAAATTCGAACAAATCAATGAAGTGAAGCTGTTGGAAGGCTCCGGACAACTGGTTTTTACTGAAAGTTGTTATGAAGTCCCATCAACACTTGTTTCCAGAGTCCTTTGTTTGTACCACGATAGCCCAGAATCTGGAGGACACAACGGATTTCGATGCACCTACAACAAATTGGTGGCCTCACACGAAGAAAGATGTCAGTCAGTACGTTCATTCCTGCCATGTGTGTCAAGTACACAAAGTCAAGTATGAACAGCCCACGAATGCTTTGATACTACCTTGCCACTCGAACGTACCTTTCAAAGTAGTTCACTTGGATTTGCCAAACTAAATAAGAAACGGGCGGAGTCAATAAAACGCAAGCTTTTCTTCTGGCCATAGATGAATACACGAGGATGGTCGTGGCACAAGCAGGAAAAGAAGATGCAAATAGCGTCATAGGCCTCCTCGAAAAAGGCATGTTCAAGACTGCGCGGTCAATAGTATGTGATAAGGGCCCTGCGTTCAAGAGCGAAAAGCTAGCAAGATGGGCTCGGGATCACAATATATCGATCAAGTTCTGTGCTCCACACCATCTCACAGCGAATGGGCAGGCAGAACGTGCCATACGGGACGTGAAACAGTACATCAAGATGTACGATAGTTTTCCTGGTGGATGGAAATGTTCTTTGGAAGCCGCCGTGATACATCATAATCGATCCTATACAAGTGGCTTTGGGTGCAATCTACAGTGCGTTTTTTCAGTATAAACCCCTATTTTGCAGGCAGACCGTGAGTTGGGACTCTTAAAAAACATCAAGATCATTGAGGAGAGGCAAGAAAAATCACAGGAGGAGAGATACCGAAAATGAATGAAAAAAAAAAATTTCGACAAGAGGCATCGAGCAGACATGCCAGACATTCAAGTCACCGACCTCGTATTAGTGAGGAAAGGAATAAGAGATGACAGTGCCAAATTTCGCGGTCCTTACTCTGTGACCAAGACAGCCACCCAGAATGGAATTTTGAAGACTGTCTGGTACACTGGTGAACGTGGATTGGTTGAATATGCGTCAATTGGAAAAGTCTGCAAATATTACCCCAGTAGGGGTAATTACAAGAAACCGGAAAAGGTGAAGTGGTATGAGTGTCACACCTGTCCCGTTTATTAGGGAGGCGATCGCCGGGCTAATTCCAAGAGCCGAAGTATCGGCCCCCCGAACCGCACCACGAAAGCGTGGACAATTTAGAAGTGGTCCTTATTGGTGCGCCAGCGGACGCCGGCTGTGGCCCAAAGAACAAGACAGAGCCGAGAGTTGAGAAAACAAACAAAATTATATTCTCATTAACGGCAGATCAAAAACAATACACACGTATGCACACTCCACAATAGTTACATACAATACGTCACCAAACAGACAATGTACTACACAGTACAATCAACCACACTTGAAACAACGGACACAGACAACAATACGCACTACAATGCAGTCGCATGCATTGAACAACCAAGACGCTTAAAGACTAAAGAGATATAAAACCTATTCAGTCCAAAGTCCTTGGAACAAAAGTCTGAATGATACTCTTCCGAGAATCACTCACTCAAAGTCCAGCGTTGTTGTCGTTCCGCAGCTCTCGAAGTTCTCTTCCAGGAAACCTCCCGTCTTCAATTGGCCACTCTTCCAACTTCAACTTCTTCGCCGGAACACGTCGGCTTCACACTCGCAGCGGTTGCCACGGGTCTTCGCTCGATAGCGGTAAACACACACTCTTGCCTGTAGCTCGAGCCGTCCCTACGGACCACAAACCTCGCCGACTACACGGCGGACTCTCTACGCACTCTGGCGCTCACTTCCGTCTCCTCCTGTTCTGTCACTACGGGCAGAACCTTCGCCGACTACACGGCGGAATTCCTACACGCTCCGGCGCTAACGTTCCGTCTTCTCCTGATTTCTCGTCTCGGCTGCTCGGTTAAATACCTTGCGCGCGACTTTCCAGATGTTTCTCGTCATTTCGTCGGCGCGATACGCAGCGAAGGCTGGGGAGAGGCACGAGACGGTTCGACTGCCCTCTCCCGAGGATGATTCACTCGGTCTGACCCCGCCTCCTTCGTTCGAGAAAAATCGCGGTCTTGCTGGGCCGCCGATGTGGGGTGAGGAGGATCGTCTGCGAAGCCGTGCTTCTGCGGGGAGAGCGCGCGCCCGGGAGCCCTAGATGTTTGCTTTCTCTTTTTTTTTTCTTTTTACCTCGCGGCGTTTCTGCCGCCCGTTGTCGCAAGGATTTGGCGGCGCGCTCTTGTTTAGCGCTCGTTCTGTGACAATGAGCCCTAGGTGAAGTGGTACGAGCCCTGAGACAGGAGAAGAAAAAGAACGAGAGCTGGAGCAGGAAAGAAAAGAAGGATGAAGTTGGGAATAAAGCAAATCAAGATGGATGCCAGTTCCATACTGAGGCTATAACGCTGTCCCGTTCTTTTTAAGGAGGAACAATACAATATATACTGACAATACAATTTGAACAACAAGTGATATAAAGGGTATCTGCCTTTACTCAGGCTTCAGTTTACCCGCTGACCTGCCCGAGTGACGATGCGCTCTTGCCACGGAACTTGGCCTTCATTCATAAAGAATTTGGCGAGCTTCTCCCGGACATTTATCGCCACTCTGCAAAGTAGATGCACACAATATAAAAGTGAACAGAATTATTGACATTTGCTCTGAACTGTCATTTGCAAATTAGAACACGACTTCTACAAAAATAATGGCAGTACTTTTCTAAAATTAAGATGTAAGAAAGAATGTGACTGCGACAGCAAGATGCCTTTCAGCAAAAACCTTATTTTGAGAAAATGAATTGCACATAATAATGCCAAACGTATAAAAGATAAAGGGTAGGGTGTTCAAAATTTTACCTAGCGGAGTGACAGCCAGATGCAGTGGGCTCCTTAAATATAGAGGGGTCATCGTCGCCGTCCCTCCAAGCTCCTTCCATGCATCTGCCCTGCCAGTCCTCATGGTCCACATAGCCAGGTGGATTATATGTCAGCCTTGCATGTGGCGACTCCTGGAGCATGAAATTGTGCAGCACGACACATGCCCGGATGATGTTTTCGGTGGTGGTCTCTGAGGCCCTAAAGGCTCTGCGGAGAATCCGCCACCGACTTGACATAATGCCGAATGCATTTTCAATGAGGCGGCGTGCGCGGCTCAGCCTGTAATTGAAGGTCGCCCTCTGAAGGTACTCTGCACGCTGTGCAGGATTGCTCCGGTGCTTTTGAAGTTCTAAAGAAAATTAAGTAAGCAAAGAAACGCACGTAAGAACATCAAACGAAAAATAATGAGGTATCATTACTCATTACAGCAGGTATTGGAGTGCAAAGCAGAAGCTTTATGTTTGTGCAAACAACTTTCCGTGTATGTGTACGTAGCACAAGCGCTGAATGTAAGAACTCGGCATGAGTTTTATACATAGTGTCATCCTGTAATGTAATATTCTGGCTGCGATATTGCAAGCAGTTAAGCAGTACGCAGAAGCTGCATTGCTGGCACCATTTTTGTGGCTTGCGCTTTGTTTGCTCTCCAGCAAGCATGATATACTCATCAAGGTTAATTTATTCTCGCTAAATAGATTAATATCATTTTTTTATGTGGACCTTTTTTTTGGTTTTGGTTTCTAGGCGCAGAATTAGCATGTGACATGGCTGTGTAGCTTGGTCACATGGCTACACAAGGCTGTGAAGCATGTCATGCTGATAATCGTCTGCTCTCGCTGGCTTTCTCGCACACACGTCATACAAGCACCTACAAAACAAACGAGAACTTTCGAGAACCTCTGCCACATACCAACTGGCAAAGCATTGGGACGATGCTTTGCCACAACATGCTTGCTTTACCTTCGAAATTTGATTGCACCGCCCCTTTTCTCAAGAATTGGTTCTTTTTATATGTTACAAGTACTAGCTAAAAGGTCAAAATGTTGCGTATATCATTGAAATGGCTAAACACAAGTCAGTTTTCCAAAATTTAATAAAGCACTGACAATGTCAACTACACTACCATCAACATCTGCTTAATACAGCCCAATTAAGAATCCCCACAAATGTAGGAGGCCTTTCTGCAGAGCCACTCAATGACATGACAAATACACTCAGCTCCTGCAGTCTGCCTTGGTATGCATAGTTGCACACTTCCGAAGTATACGCCAACTTTGACACTCCTATCTCTCCGCATAGTTTACAGTAACTATATGCCTCAGTAGTGCAGATATTGTCTAACTACTCCCATTTAACTTGTGTAGTGTCTATGAGCTGTTAACTCTATTTCTATATTATTTTTTGTAGAATCTTCTATAAGAATTTTCTTTGTATTTGTATAATTGTCCAGCATCAAGAAAGAAATTGTGCTGCACATGCACAACGAAACTTGCCTCGCTGGGGGTAGGGTCGCATCATGAAAGTCTTCAGGGGAAAGGCTTCATCCCCTACTAATACATAGGGTATAAGTCCTATGCTTCCGACATTTGATGGCGGGGGAACTCCAAACAGTCTTCTGTTGAAGCAATCCAGCAAACGGGACCTTAAAAAAATTCCACTGTCTCCTTCGCCTCCAAAGTGGCCCATGTCAACGTATGTAAATCTGGAATACAGTGATAGGTAATGCTGTATGAGAACACATATTGTTGCCTTTGTGCAAAGGACTGGTTTTCCGTAGCGAGTCCAGTAGTACATGTACTGGCCACCTGTAAAAACTTGCAAAATGTAATTATCCTCCAAAAATGAGCATACAGTGTACAAGAAAAGTTTATTAAGCTTAGTGGTCACCCCGCAAATGAATACCGTAAATATTGTGCAAGATGATCCACCTTTTTGTTACATGTGGCTGTTTACGTACAAGTCATGTGTTTGACCAGGGCTGTGGTCGCAGTGCTTTGATGTAAGTGAAACGCTACATGTATGTGTCTGTGTGATGTCAAGGCATGTGAAAGATTAAACACCAAGCAAGCAAAACTTTGAAGCCTTCCATTTAGACGTGTGATATCCGACACTGGTCTGTATCTACTTTGCTCTCTTTTAATCACGTCTTATAATGAGGCATAGCCTCCCCGCCAAAGGCTTCACTTCCTCATCATTATTGTTGCCATATTCACGCTAAAAAGGGAAAAACACACAGTGGGAGAACCAAACAGAAAATCTAGTAGACATAGTTATACAGCACACCACCCAGACTTCACTTCCTCCTCACTCATCCGGTAGGTGTAAAAAAGAGCGAGTGATGGTGTTGTCGTAGATGCAACACTGCTTTCTGGCGACAGGTTTTAAGGCATGCCAGTGGCAGTGGTAATGAGTACTAGAGAGAGGGAAGGGATAACAGTATTACTATTAATAAAGTCTATCTGAACAAATGGAAATCGTTATGAATATCTATGAGTGTAAGTAATAATGCAAGTGTGGAACCCCACAGTTTAGCATGAACGTAAGTGACTGTAACACCATTGAAGATAATGTTGAATGAGTATGACAATCTGCTTGTTATGATATCTTAAGCCCACATGATTAAGTCAAGAATTACCATGAGAGGAAATTTAACCAAGTTGCCTATTCGTTGTCATTACTACTTGAGAAGGCCAGTAAGAAAAAGAATTTCACCTGTAATGTGCATCACACACTGCAAGGAAAACAACACTGAAGGTTTTCTTGTAGTTTAAGTTCCTTGAACCGGTATTCCTTGGGCATTCAATGATGACATGTTTTCCATCTATGCTTCCCAAACAATTAGGAAAATTCCAAAATTCCTCCATATCTGCAGCAATCTAGATCCATCAAGAAAGAGCCACAAAAAATAAAATCAATATAAGTGAACTCAGTGGAACAAAATGCTTGTTCAATGATAAACACTGGAATGCAACATGAAATATGACAATTAAACATAAAGTTATGCAGATGCCTAGTTGGAGCTGAGTTGTGGCTTGCAGATAATTGAAGCATTCACAGCATTACAACACACACTGTCGGACTAAAATAGGCCAATTGCTTGAAACATATTACGTACCAGCACAGAACCAATGAAATTAAATTTTGAATATGTTTAAATATTCAAAAAGCCGTTACTGCATCAGAGTCATTTACCTGAATGGGCACCAAGCAATTTCTAATGCAATTTTTCAAATGAATTCGACAAGTAACAACGTACTACTCTTGAAAATGAAATACTTTGCAAGCCGAGCTCAAATTATTTTACCATTACTGCAACCTGAGTGTATACTTCCTGTTGTCATTTCACAAAGGAGTGCACTGCCAGCCACTCATTTGCTGATGTTTTAATGTTACCAAGCAACCACTTTATCATTCTCCTTGCTGTGGCCAACTGCTTGCATAATTCCAGTGGACTGAGAGGAATAACTTATTTCTGATTATTTTTGTAACTGTAGCACGTTACATGACCATGAGGAACACTGACTTCTTTATTTGAAAAAAAAGCACTCAATTTAGACTACTTAATGTAGTTAATGAAAAGTTCAATGAGATAAGTTGCTTGTGAATGTATTTTTCAAAGAAAAATGATGAAACCACAACAATCCTCATATGCCACTGATACACATCAGCCACTAAAATAAAAAATCTAGTATGAATGGTCCTCCCATTACCCTTTTCCACTCCCCAGTTGTCTGAGGAAACTTCATGTACAGTGGTTGGAGAACATGCCACAGCACGGCCGTTGTTTCCCTTACTATTTCACCTGCCGTGGATCGTCCTGTCAGAAAGTTGAATGACAGACTTCGGAAGGTGTCTCCATTAGCAAGAAATCTGAAAATACAGAAATGTTTTTAAGGCAACACATCTACTTTTGTTGCACTGAGCTGGATGCTTAATGCTGCTGAAGACAATGAATGGCTCTTGCTTCAAAACAGCGATCGCAATGCTGAACTAGAGAGGCAGGTCATGCAGGCTTCCCACTTCCCCAAGCAAAAGAAACTAGTGATTTTTCTCTTTCTAGTGATCTCAACAAAGCTTTCAGTGTATGTTCTCATTAGGTGTCAAACGACATGTGAAAAACTTTGTCATTTAGTATTCCTGAAAACTCACTTGACAGAGGAGAAGTGCTGTAAAAGCGAGGAGGAAGTAAAGCAAAATGGGACGAAAATAGAGTATGGCATAGCCTCACATAACCTATTTTAAATGTGGGATTCGAAAAGTGACTGTGGGTGTAGCAGACTGATGTTTGAGTGAACAAGAGGGAAAGGAAAGGTGATCATGATTAGAAGAAGAAAGCGCCTGATTTCCACAGCCTGATAGGGAGCACGGCTCAACGCCTAGGAAAAGGAAGAGGGCAATACGTAATGAGATAAATAAAGATGAAAGAAACAATAAAGAATGTGCATAAACAGATGAATGGGCATGAAATAAATGACAGAGATGACGACGGAATATCTTCATCTGCGTTCGGCAAGTGGTGTCGTTTTCCACCTATGCTATGTGCTAAGGTTACATAAACATGGAACTGTTGTTTTTTTTATTTTAAGACCATAACCTAATAACTATTCTATGGTGCTAACTTGGAGTGTATGGTATTGAGCATAAAGCGTGAATATTACTATATTAGTAAACATAGGTTTTGGTGTAGCTATGCTTTAGCATGCAGTACAGAGCTGCAAATGTGTTACTTGATTATTACTTTTCTTTTGATTGCCTTACCTCAGGGTCATCGCCAGCCTTTCATGTGCAGAAATTGGCAGCCGAAACGGCGTCACTCTTCTCTCGATAAGTGGTCCAACGAGACTGAGCAATGTGTCAAAAGTCCTTGGTGGCATTCGGAGGAAACTGAAAAATGAGGCTGATTACTAGAAACCAGATTTTAGGGTGTTGCTTTTTTTGTTCCTTGCACTCCTATCGTGCTGCTTTCATTTGAGATCATAAATTAGAGGCTACTGAGGGCTTTTCTGTAGTGTTTATGGTGCATATAAATACCAAATATGGCCATTTTTGCCTAAATGCATGAAAATGGCGGGAAGGAAAAAATAGAAAGAATCAGTAAACAGAGGTACTTTGCTGGAGCCGACATTTTGACAAGTGGACTTGTCTTGCTCAAGGCTAGACCGAAACTGTTCTATTCTAGCCTTGAAAAAGACAAGTTTGCTTGTCAAAGCATCGACTCGAGCACACAACCCCTATTCACCTATTCTTTATACGAAAAATGTCTTCTTACGAACACTACTTTGCCAGGACAAGGCCATGTTTCTCAGGACACCCTCTCATGCGAGCTCATACAACGAGAATGTAACCTGACAGAGCATAGGCTTGGAGATGTTAGTAATCCATTTTACAATATATTTTATTTTAGCACACTCTTAAGCAAGCATATTCTGTCCTCTGTGTTGTTTAAGAGTACGCTAAAAGTTGATGAGAAGCTGCCTAATGCAACCATCTGTCAGCATCCATCATCGAACATTTATGAGCATACCTAGAAGCTCTTGAGTATTATAGCTGCAACTCTTCGGACATCACGGTCAGTATTAACAGCTTTTCAGGTGTCGAGAGAAAACTGTTATCAAGAAGGCTCAAGCTGCCCTCTTTGTGGATAGCCTGCTAGGAGATGTTGCCTACTTGTGCATCGAAATCTACATGTTCTTCACAAACAGTACCAGGAAACTCTGACATTGTGGAGGAACTCCAATTGCAAACATTGCATACAGTATATATTGTTACGGTGCGATGGATGCCTTTATTTACAGGAGATGATCAATGCGAGAGTCCAGGGATCTGGCCGATCACCGCTCGTGCCAACCTCGTTCTCCTCTTCTTCCACGCGCATCCTCAGTATCGTAGCAATTCCCCCTTTGCAGACGATGCCCACCGGGCGAGTTAGGTTTCGTTGCGATGATGATAGCGTTTTAAACGGGCAACATGAACGATGTTGGTCTTGCTTGAGCGGCGGCCAGTTGACAACAGCTGAGATATCACGTACGTGACATCGCTTAGACGTTCCAAGACAACAAACGGACCGGTGTAGTTGGCCAGAAACTTTTGGCAGAGGCCGCGCTTGCGAAGCGGCGTCCAAAGCCACACCAAATCCCCTTTCTCAAACCATACGTGCCGGTGACTTCTGTCGTAACGGTTTTTTGAGCGTTTCTGTGAGACGAAAGTTCGAAGACCGGCGATGCGCCGGGCCTCTTCTGCGCGGCAAATGGTTTCGGCGAGAGTAGGTTGATCAGTCTCGGAAAAAGGAAGAATAGTGTCAAGAGCTGTGCGGGGTTGGCGTGCGTAGAGCAGATAAAATGGACTGTATCTCGTTGTTTCGTGCTGTGCAGTGTTGTAGGCGAAAGTTATAAATGGCAAAATCGCGTCCCATGTTTTGTGTCCAGAATCAACATACATGGAAATCATGTTGACGAGAGTCCTATTTGTTCGTTCCGTCAAACCATTAGCCTGCGGGTGATGTGGGGTAGTGTGACGAAAATGGCATGAAGCAAGACGAAGGAGGTCTTCAACTACATCGGCAACAAATTGCCGCCCGCGATCACTGATGATGACACGGGGGGATCCATGGCGTAATATAACGTGTGACAGCATGAACTGTGAAACTTGAGTGCCCGTTGCCGCAGGAATCGCCGCAGTTTCGGCGTAACGTGTGAGGTGGTCAACGCTCACAATAATCCATCGGTTGCCGTTCGTTGATCGCGGAAAAGGGCCGAGCAGGTCGACACCTACGACGTCAAATGGTGAACTCGGGGGTGCTATGGGATGAAGTAGTCCGGCTGGCGGAGTTGTAGGACGCTTGTGGCGTTGACATTGCTCACAGCTCGCAACGTATGCAGTCACACTTTTACGCATCTTTGGCCAGAAGAAGCGTTCTTGCGTGCGATAAAATGTCCTAAAAAAACCCATATGGCCAGATGTTGGGTCGTCATGCATTGCTCGAAGTACGTGTTGTCGAAGACTTGTAGGCACAACTAGAAGTAGGCGAGGGCCTACGCCGGAATAATTCTTTTTGTAAAGAACGCCATCCTTTACGACGAAACCACGTTGACCGTTCGTTCCAGAAATAAAGAAAGAAGTGAGACTGTTGTCATTGCGTTGCTCTGCTCGAAAAGTTGTTAGGTCGGGGAACGGAGTATCCACTACAGCCAAATATTCATCAAAGTTGTCAGCTTCACACTCGGTTGTCGGAAGGGGAAGTCGTGAAAGGCAATCAGCGTCGGCATGACGACGACCGCTCTTGTAGCAGACTTCAAAGTCGTGTTCTTGCAATCGTAATGCCCAACGAGCAAGACGACCAGATGGGTCCCGTAGTCCAGTGAGCCAACATAAAGAATGGTGGTTCGTGACAATCGAGAATCGGCGTCCGTAGATATAAGGGCGAAACTTGTGCACGGCGAATATGACCGCGAGACATTCCTGCTCTGTGACAGTATAGTTTCGCTCCGGCTTACTTAAACAGCGACTGGCATAGGCAACGACGTGTTCAGCAGCGCCATGGCGTTGTACCAAGACGGCGCCAATACCTACACCACTGGCGTCGGTATGAACTTCTGTGGCAGCAGATGGGTCATAGTGGCGAAGTACGGGCCCTGACGTAAGAGCAAACTTGAGTTGCGAAAAAGACGACTCGCATTCCGCTGACCACCGAAAAGGTGCGTTCTTGTTGAGTAGGGACGTCAAAGGGTAAGCGAGGTCGGCGAACCTGGGCACGAAGCGACGGAAGTACGAGCATAGGCCCAAAAAGCTTCGCAACTCTCGTACCGACTGAGGTTGTTTGAAGCTGCTGACTGCTGCGACTTTCTGGGGGTCGGGTCGAACGCCATGCTTGTCCACCAGGTGACCGAGAACGAGAGTCTCACGGCTGCCAAAGTGACACTTCTTAGAGTTCAGGGTGAGCTTAGCTCTCTCAAGGCAGGTGAGAACAATGTCTAGACGATGGTTGTGTTCATCGAATGTACGGCCAAATATTATAATGTCATCCAGGTAGCAAAGACAAACTTCCCACTTTAGTCCACGTAACACAGAGTCCATGAAGCGCTCAAACGTGGCTGGAGCGTTGCATAGGCCAAACGGCATTACATTGAATTCAAATAGACCATCTGGGGTTATGAAGGCCGTTTTCTCTTTGTCATTCGGGTGCATGGGTATTTGCCAATAACCAGATCTCAAATCCACGGATGAGAAGTACGATGCCGAATGTAAACAATCGATGACATCATCAATCCTGGGAAGCGGGTAGACATCCTTTTTAGTAACAGAGTTGAGCCGTCTGTAATCCACGCAGAATCGCCATGTACCATCCTTCTTTCGGACAAGAATCACAGGGGCAGCCCAAGGACTACACGACTCTTGAATAACCCTTTTCTTTAACATCTCTTCTACCTGTTGAGTAATGACCTTGCGCTCCGCAGATGAGACACGGTATGGTTTCTGCCGGATAGGGTGAGCGGATCCTGTGTCAATCCCATGGCGAGTACGCCACTCGGGTACACTTATTTGCTCTTCTTTCTGCGCAAAGTCAAATATAGTAGCGTGCTTCGCAAGGACTTCGACCAAAGCTTGACGTTTTTCTGATGATAGCGACTTGTTTACCATACTCAGAAAGTTGGCTTCTGTATGGTACGTTGCACAAATAGGATCTACTCTCTCGTCACTTAAAGATGCAATGAAACTGGTCGCATTTTGTTCGAAGCGGGCGAGTCGCATTCCGCCGGGTAGCATAACAGGTTCATTTGAATAGTTCGACACCCATAAGGCCGATCGCCTATCACTGATCGACAGAACACAATGTGGAATGAGCACATTTTTCTTGGCGCAATTAAGAGGAATGGGCTCCACAAGAACATCAAACTTTCCGGCGTCCGAGGCAGAGGCGTCAACGCGTACGGTCTTCATCGAGTTGGGCGGCAAGACAACATCCTCAATGACGGTGATAGATCCTTGACAGCACCTAGGATCGTCAGTAAATGCCGATAGCATAATCTCGCCAGCACCGCAATATACAGTAGCCCCACACTCGCGTAGAAAATCGATGCCCAAGATGATGTCATGGGTGGAGCTGGTCAGGACGGCGAATTCAGCCTCGAAGACCTTGTCACCCAAAGTGACACTAACAACACACACACCGATCGGGCACAATGTCTCCCCGCTCACTGCACGAAATGATGCACAACTGTCCCAGCGAAACATCACTTTATGTCCTAGCCGCAATTTGAAGTTAAGACTCATCACTGAAACAGCTGCTCCAGTATCTATCAACGCCATCGTAGGAAGTCCATCAATAAGCACGGGGACCCTATTTTGAGTCATAAAAACGGGTGGAGGCATAGGCGAATGTAGTGACAAATGTTCGGCGACCTCACCTCCATTGGCCGCACCACCTAGTTTCCCGGAGGCGGGGAGGTGACGCGTCGACCAGGAGATGGGGAACGGAACCGGCGTGTTGTGGGGGGCGTCAAGCTTCGCACGGAGGAAGGCGAGTCGTTGCGTAAATTCCGATGGAAATTGCGTCCTACATGTGTATCACTGTGGGTCGTTTGCTGGAAGCCGTCCCCAACGTACGCGTCCCGCATTGAACGCATACCACCGCGCCAGCGGTTTTGTCGAGAAGAAGGTGATGGTTCCTCGTAGTAGCGTTGCTGGGGGCGACGCCTTTGACCACAGAATCGAGCCACATGTCCACGAAAACCGCAGTTATAGCACACAGGGGCCTCACGCACGTCGCCAAACCTTCCACGAGGCGCCATGTGCCCATGATCGTCCCACGAAGACACCATTGTAGGCGGTTGGCGGGAGGCGTTCTGGAAACCACGGCGATGATGTAAGTTGTCGGTTGGGGGCGCTGGTGCTCTTGATTGGGGCACATCATATAGCGTGGCATCAACGGCAGCACACATTGCGTCGTATGGCGGGGAGGTGTTGATAGCAGGTGCTCTCGGCGGGTTGACAGCATCACGTCGTCCAAGTTCTTCGCGTACGATTTGCCTGATCATTGAGGCAAGATCACAGGGGGATGTTGCAGGGACGTCGACACTTGCAACGGTGGTGACGTTGGCAAGTCTACCAAATTTGGGAGCGATGCGCCTAGCCTGCACTGTCTCAAACGTGCGGCAGTGTTGTATTACGTCCGCTACAGACGCCAAGGTGTCCTTGCCGATGAGGAAATTGTAGACATCCTCAGCAACCCCTTTGAGAAGATGCCCTACCTTGTCATCTTCTTTCATGCGTGGGTCTACAGACTTGCACAATTTCAGGATCTCTTCAATGTACGTTGTGCATGTTTCACCGGGGACTTGAGCATGCTGCATCAAAGTTTGCTCAGCGCGCTTCTTCTTCATCAATGGGTCTCCGAAGCAGCTCGCTATTTCTTTCTCAAACGCTTCCCAGGTCATTATTGTTTCTTCGTGCTTTTCAAACCACACCAACGCAGTCCCTTGAAGAAACAATCCGACGTTGGACAACCGGGAGGCCGCATCCCAACAGTTGTATTTACTCACACGGTTGAAGTGTTTCAGCCATTCGTCGACGTCTTCTCCGACCCTCCCTGAGAAGCTTCGTGGTACCATGTGCCGGGGCCACGCAGCGCCAGACGAAGAGTGCGTGGTGTCGCCGTCAGCAATCGGATCCATAGAGAGCGGTGGTAGACCAGCCAGTCGGCGGCTTCGGCGTAGTTCTTGAGGTAGCGCTTCCGTGATCGTTGGCCTTGGATCGCTCCGCTGTACCCCGCACCTTCCACCAATCTTGTTACGGTGCGATGGATGCCTTTATTTACAGGAGATGATCAATGCGAGAGTCCAGGGATCTGGCCGATCACCGCTCGTGCCAACCTCGTTCTCCTCTTCTTCCACGCGCATCCTCAGTATCGTAGCAATATGTAGAAAAGAATAGCCACTGTTCCTGAATGACCAGTGCCTGAAAGGGCATGTGCAAAGTTACAGTGGGTCTTGGACAAGAACTAGAGACCTGTTCCTAAATAAGCTACAGAAGTTCTTAAGCCTCAGCACTCTAGGACCCCAGTGTACGTTCAGTCATTCAATGTCCCCTAATACAACTTCACTTCAGCAGCATCTGTTAACACTGTGCATACTTCACCAGTGTATGCACTTATTTTCAGTGATGGGAGGCACAAGATTAAATTGGGAAATAGTGGCGGTTCCCTATTGTTTTGTCAATTTTCACAGAGATTGCTAGGCTACGTTCCTCATGCTCACCGAACGTATTTTTTTGAACATCAAATGGGCTGTATTTGGCAGTGTTAGGATGAATGCCCTGTTCAATTCGAATATTGTCATTGTGCACACAAAATTGCCAGTGTGGACTTAACAGCTCTCACACAAGAACATGTTAAATTCTTAATAAATCATTGTCTCTTGAACTTATTGTATTGTATGTATTTAAATGAATTAATTTGTTCCTAATTCATCGCATCAGTAAGACATGAAGTAGTGCTTCTGAATCAGTATTCCGAGTTTTCAAGTACTATTTTTTATGTATGTTTGACCATACGCAATACTCGGGTAATCAACAGTGGCCATTGAAAAGTGAATGTGCGCATAGGCGTACAGTTACCTAGGGGGACCTCGTTAGACTATTCGGCCCATAGTCTTCCTGAAGTAAAGACGGGAAGTAAACAGCCAAGGGACCGCCCTCTCATTCACGGACTTTTGGCTGTCGACCATTATCATCACAAACCTGAGTGGCCATAACGCAGTTAAATAAAGAGGCAGACTTTCCGCGCACTCCCTTCCCCTCGTGCACACGACCATGAATGCCATGCGATGTCATGCGCGACCTGTACAATCCTTGAAAAGATTTGCATTCATGTAGAAATTTATGATGCCTATATTGACGAAGTTGGAGGCATGAAACCTCGTTTTGATTGCCCCTTCTTGGCACCTGAAAATTTGCCGTCAACTGATTTTAACAGCACTAAACACTGAATGATATAAATTACTTACTCTCGGAAATAGACTTCATCCCTTGCTCGCAGACGGGGAAGCAGTGTGTGGGCCTGTCCTTCAGTATCTCTGTACCTCCAAAGCGGATGCACCCAATATCTTCGCGGCGCATTTCGAGAGCGGCGACGCTGAAGCAACAGCAGACACGCCATCATGGTAACGTTGAGCGTTGCGAGGAGATCGTCGTCGCCGGCCATTGTTCGCACGATTGCACCGTAAAGTCGGAGAGCTCAGAACAGACGACGAAAGAGCGCGCGAAATCTCACGAGCCGCTGCGAGACCGCTCGAGACTGTTGTCACTTGACTACCGCATATGTGGCCAGCGTGCCGCTTTTCACCGCTCGGCGGCGAAGACGCGCGTCATGCCGCGGCGGCACGCTTCCCGCTAGTGTGTGCGTACCCTAAGTACGGCCGCGCCAACGTTGGCCGCGCCCGCGTCGGAGCAGTCACCGCTGCACGCAACTGCGGCGCAGCCGCTAAACGATCTGTTGGAAGCGGTGCGCTCGCAGCCTGGTGCTTTAAAGGGAGACCCCGAGTCCCCTCGGCCAAGCGTTCCGAGTAGCTTAAGGGTACCTCTGCTTAAGGGTACCTCTGCGTCAGGGACAGTGACTTAAACACTCAGCGTTGCCATGGGGTATCCCTCCTTTTGAAACGTATGTCAAATGTATACTGTTGCAAAACGAGGCTTCAACGCAGATGGCGGCCATCCTTAGAGAACAAAGGCAGTAGCTCCGAGAGAGGACAATGCTCCACCTTTAAATAACTTACTTGGTAATCTAGGAAGCTAGTTTTCGAGCCGCCTTCACTAGGCTTTTCCACCACCTAAACAGGACACTAGTAAAACAACGAAAGCTCAAAACGAAGAATTCTCGCATGAGTTCCGTTTACACACGAAGAAAAACTTAAGCCATCATGCCAGCTCTCTGCGCACGCTATAACCCAAGCTCAAACGTGACCGTTTCTTCACGCCTCTAGTAGGACACACCCTGACAGACTCAAATTTTTCACACTAGATTCGGCTGCATCTCACAACTATCAAAATTTTGTCGTTCCTACCTCGACTTTCGATAATGCCTAACGCTCCGCCTAAACTATCACACGATACTTAAGCATTCTATCAAAGCCAAAGCCACAGAACTAAACCTTGCGTACTAGTCTTGTTTGGTTAATGATACATTATAAAGCCAGCCCCTTGGATAAAGAACGCGCTGGGTTCCTTTAGGTGCGTTAGCTCTATTCGCACTTACACAGTGCTGTAACATTTTACGACCAAAGATACGCTTCCGTACCATCTAAAAAAAATCTAAACGCGCATTTGATTGCAAATATAACACAATCCACACTTAGCATGTACCCTTCGAACCAATCTTTGTTTTCTTATCAAAGCTGAAAAAATGTTGAGAAAAAAAAGCTCCTTTCCGGAAACTCTGGGTTGCATTTTGCGAAAAGCTTGCAGCCGACCTTCATGCTTTTAGCCTTGCACGTGGCGCTCGTGTTCTTTGCCGCTTTCGCCATCGCCAAGGCCACAATGAGCGCGAGCTCCTAGCCCAACTTTGCTATCTCGCCTCATTCCTGAATCTGGCCGGCTTTCTTCGGGACACTGAAGAAACCTGAAATGCGGGGGAAAGATTCGCCATTGTCCTTTGGTGTTTGGTTCCACCCTGAATTTAGGACCAGCAGCCTTTCGATTAGAAACCTGTCGACGTAGTTGTTAATGCAAACCTGTTCCTTTCAACTGTGCCTTCTTTCTTGGGGACGCACGTCCCTTTCCGCTACTTCTCTCTCACCGATTTTCGCCTGACCCTACGCGTCAAAGGACTTTTTATTGAATTACCCGTTGGCCAACCTTTCCGTTTTCGCTGCGGCGTGCCCTCTGCCTCCACCTTTTGTGGTGCCGCACGTCCCCGCTTCCTTCTTTTGCGGTGACGCTTACGTACAACCTTTCTTTGATTGTTACAAACTTTCCTGGTTGCGTCATTGGCAACCCCACAGTTGAGGTGTGCCTGTGCACCACCCTTTCTGCAGCCTGTGCCCTTCGGTTTCCCCTCTCCATTGCTCTGACGGGCTAATTTATCTGCGCTACCCCTCACAAAACCAGACTTCCAGACTCTGGGCTCACCACAGATCACAACTCTTAGAAATTAGCGTCCTGCTTGATTTCCGGGTAGTTTTTACCGTCCGGCTGGTCGTTTACGTGCCGCTGCACGAGGCATGTCTCTAACAACAAACAATCTCTGTTCATGCTGCTGGGATTAGACATTTTCCCGAAACGATCCTTCACAGAACTTGTGCCTGTTCGTATACCTACGACAGCCTCGCAATGTACCTTCTCCCCCTCTGAAACATTTCCCACGCTATCTGTAGGAAATACTTTCAACAGTAGCTCGCCCTCGCTAGCGGTACTCTCGGGTTTCAGTAGCGTTATGTCTTCGCTACATTTAGGACTACCTTCGTTGTCCTCTCTTTCAACATCCGAAAGGTCATTCCCTTGCTGAGGCTCGCGCGTGGTCTCCAGCTCACCCTTCTGTTCAATGACGCCACCAGGGCGACTGGAACCAGTCTCGGTCTCACATGGAACACCTTTTGGACTTGCTACAGTTTGCATACCAGCCACCATCCCGCTCTCTACATACACTACCTTTGCACCACCGGAGAGTCGCGTACCTTCCCTAGGCGCAATTTCACTAACAACAACCTGTAGCTCTTTTCTCTCCGCTGAAGGATCACTTTGCATGTCACACTAACAGAGACGCGTACCTTTCTCGGGCGGTACCTCGCAAACAGCGGCTTCCTCAGTGACTTCTCACTGCATCGTACTCGCCACTTCACCGCACCTATCGGGCTCTACACATACTTCACATATACACGACGGATGACGATCCTGATGCAGTTCCCGAATGCGATTATTCGACCTTTCTATCCTCTCAGAAGTGGCCTGCATCGTAGCTTCATGTGTACGTATCCTTTCGGCTTCTGCCTCTTTTTCTCTGGGCTTCTTCCTTTTCTTCCTCAATGTCCATGACATAGCCTGAGAGTTCCTCATCGTCCAACCCTGTCCCGACGATCCGCTCGATCAGTCCTGTTTTTGTTGGGGAGTCTGACACATCTAAGTTCATCTCCCTTGCGATTGTTAGCAACATAGGTTTTTGCAGGGCTTTCAGATTCATGACCGCTTCCGGTACCGTTCTCTGTTCCACTAATGATTACTGTCTTGCAGCTAATTAACCCTGACAACAACGACAGCCCTAGTTTTCTGCCTTGCCTCAAGTTACCTGTTAACTTAGTCTGCAAAAGCTTCCTTAAGCTCTTACACGGAATCCTGTTCCGTCACTGTTAACCTTGCCGTCACCCACAGATTATAGCTTAAACAAGCTACCTCACAATTATCTGCCCGACGCAAGTTATCTGTTAACCATATGACTAAAACAGCCCTGTCACCGTTAACCTTGCCGTCACCCACAGACTATAGCTTAAACAAGCTATCTGACAATCTGCCTGACGCCAGTTACACAATGACCAAATAAGCTATGCTCCCTACTAGCTTCTACTCACACATTAGTAAATGCCTGGTAAAGTTTAACAGAGAAAGTCGGCACTCACCCGGCTCGCAGTCGAACCTCCAGCGTCGTGCATCTCAGCAGTGCCTTCCGGTTGCCTCTCACAGTCGATGACCTCGTGTCATCCCAGAACTGTCGTTCGGCTGCCTCTCAAGTCGATGAGCTCAGATAATCCGACCGTTGTCGTCCAATCACCTCTCCAAGTCGATGGGTGTCGTAGCATCTGATGGCTGTCATCGAGTCGTTGCTACCTGGGTTGACACCAACTCTCCGCTGAATCCAGTGGTTGCGACCTGGGTTGACGCCATCCCACCGCTGAATCCAGTGATTGCAACCTGGGTTGTCGCTATCCCACCAGTGCCATCCAGTTGTTGCGACTCCGAGTCCCACGGGTCTAAGTTTGGTAGCGGGCCTCCGTCCTAGGACCATTCATCGAACAAGTCAGATGATGTGCTCGTAAAAGCGACAACTTATTTACATGGTTAGTAATTGAGAATTCGAAAGGAGAACGAGAAGTAAAAAACTGTACAGAAGAGCTGTTGAACTGTAGAACTTCAAATACACGAAAGTCTTCGGCTTATATAGCGCCTCGTTGCCAACCCTGGGCACATTGTCCGCGGCTTCCACCAATAGGGCGCTCCATGGTCTAGGTGCTCCACCCATGAAGGAGAGGAAAGACACCACACAATGCATGCGGAGAGGGCACAGTCCACACGATGCCTAAATATGGTCGCCAAACCACTCCACCGACGTTTTCGCACACGTCACCAAGTTTCGCGCACGTCTGATGATTTTGGTTTCCAAGATTCTTCTGGCAGCTGGGTGAGGTTCGAAAAACCGGCTGCCAGTACACGTGTCAAACACACGTCACAAAGTTTCGCGCGCGTCCGATGACATTGGCTTCCAAGATTCTTCCAGCAGCTGGGTGAGGTTCGAAAAATCGGCTGCCGGTACACGTGTCAAATTTGCCTGACTGTTTGGGTAGGACAATGTAGTGGTGGGCCAGCATATCGTCAAAATATGCCACCCCATTCAGCCAACCCTATGGAGAAAAGGGGGGAAGGAATAGTCAACTAATCCCTCGTCACCGAGGTGGGCTCTGGCAAGGGCTCCAGCACATAGTGCATTATCCCTTTCTTCACCCCCACATTTCATTCCTGGTTGTTTGCTAGAAGCAGGGGCTTAGCTGCAAATATCCAAGGGTCCGCCTCTCCTCGCAAGATGCAGCTACAACCAGTTTGGCTTTACCTTCAGCTTGAACTGTAAATACCATGCTGGTTCCGAGATTTCCAGATCCTAAGTGACCTCAAAAATAGCCCAGCTGCCTCCTTGTCTGCCTCGAAAGCCTTGCTTCCAGCAAACAGAATGGCCTTTCTTGAGTCGAGCTCACAATGACCTCTCTTGGCTCAGGCGTTTTCTTTGCGCGAACTAGTCCCGAACGCGTATTTGGAATTGCTGGCCCCGCATCGCACGAAAGAGAGAAGAGAAAGAGTGCGAGGAGGACGCCAGCTTCAGGATTGCTCACGCGCTATTGGTTCGCCTCTGGAGGTGACGTGCTGGTGACGCGCGCGTTCCGCAGCCACACTGACTAAACTTGCACACCTGCACGTCATTTTCAGCCATGCTCCCCACTCCTCTCCGACTAAGTGGCGCAACCCCCGCCATAATTCGTCA